CCAACATGGTCCACGGACGGCGACAGAGACGCGAAATGAGAATTTGAAGCGTATAAGTTCAGAATTTTAATCACAGAATAGTCTTTTTGGGAATCACTATTTGAAACTTCAGACAATGACCTTGTCCACATGGTCCACATATAACAACAGTTACACAAAAACAGAATTTAAAATCTATGAATTTGAAATTTTAGTCCCACAATATTCTTTTTGGAAATTTCTAATATATATGATTGTGTGCCAAATTCTAAAGGACAGAAGTGATATGTAATTGACCTATGACATGATTAGGTACTAAAGTATGCGTAAACCGTTGAAAAAATGTAAAACAATACTTCAATTATGCAGAATATATATTAATACTCTTTTTTCCCACTTTTGTTAAGTTTGTTTATGTTCTCCAAAGCATTCGGAGTGTTATAATAATAATATAATGTAACCATCTTCGTATTATACATGTTTCAATGACCAAAAGAGAATTTTTATGGAGGGATTCAATATTTGTTAGACATTAAGAAAATTAATCTTAAATTTTTTATATATAAATGATTAATTAATTCGCTATTTATATCGTATTAATTAATAAATATATGGTACTCATTATTATGTATATAATATTAAAAATTATAGTTAAATAATGAAGTATATATTTATTACTTTGATTTATTACCTAAATCATATTAATAGTAAGTTGTTGCCTTAGGATGTGTAGCCTTGACATGGATTTGATTGATATCAACTTGTCGTTTGGTAGAGTGTATAAAATAATACTCAATAGGGTGTGTATTAGTAATGCTTGCATTAGTAATACATGTATTATTTATACTTGCATTAGTTGCGCATAGACTATTTTTTATGCATTGTTTGGTTTGGCGTATTAAAAATAGTATGCATTGTATGAAAATATTTATTTACAAAAGTATCATTCACAATTATGGTGGAAAAGATGTAAAAGTGCTTTTGAGGAGTAATTGGGTCTTTAACCATGCTAATGCATGTATTAAATCATTTGCATTACAAATACCTAGAAATCCATGGTATTAGTAATACACAATAGAGTGTATAACTAATGCAAACATTAGTTATACAAAGCATGAAAAAATGCACCAAACAAGGGACTACTAATACATATAGAAATGCATGCATTATTTTATCTAATACACTCTACCAAACGACCCTACGGTCTATATATGTCTCCATTTGATGGAAAAGGTGAGATGTCATGTGTTTATTATTAGCTTTATATATATATATAAGGGCGGACCCACATGAAAGGTTTCAGATGCTCGAGCACTTATTAATCTCGTATCGAAATGTGAATGAACGGTATAAAATTAAACAGTGAGCACTCAAGTAACTAGTAGTTGCTTGGTGTAGTGATCATTTGTGGGTGCTCAAAATTGTATATTGTATCTGTTGTGGCCCGAATCCGCTACTATATATGTATACATAAAATTTTAATCAATAATTGTGGAAAGGAAATTTCTTACCATTTTCCCAATTCCCAATTATATTGAAATACATGTGTATCTTAGTAGGGAACATACTATTTTGATTTTCAAGCCCTCATAGTAAAATCAATTGGTTGTTTGCCACATGAAATACTTTATACACCATTGCATTATCTCAAAAAAATAAAAATAGAGCTAGGGTCCCTTTCGTCTAACTTTATAATCTCTCCTGGCTTCTTGTTTCTTTCTTTGTTTCCAAATTCCAATTTTTAAATTATTTGACACGTCGTTCGGTAATTGATTTGGATGTGAGTTATATGTAGAGGTATCAAATAATCTTATATCATGTTTGATAGTTGATTAGGACTTTAGGAGTATATAAGTTATTAATTATGTATGAAATTAATATGATATTTGATTTAGAATTTAGATAAGTTAGCATATATATATTACAAGGAAATATTAGACACGACATTTTCTATGTCGCATGATATATTTATTAGATTCAAATTTAATGTAAATCAAAATAGCTTTACCGCTTCCCTTTCTATTAAAATGGACTAAGATTCTATACTTATATTGAAAATTTAGTTAGAGTAGATTTTTGAGAATTCAGTAGTTTTCACGTAGATTCTATACTTATATTGAAAATTTTTATTATACGAGAAATATATATGAATAAAGTAGTCTCTTGATCCAATGATAAAAATAATGTACTTAATTTTTACTACCTTCCTTGATCAGAGTTCAATTATTCTTGAATACATAATGAAACTTATACATTTTAAATTCTGATCCACTTTTTGTTTTCAATTTCTAACAAACAGCAGACAAAGCATATGGGTGGTCTTTTAGATTTTGTTTTAGCCTCATTAATCATTTGAGCCAACATATCCCATTTACATGCAAATTAATATTAATTTCTCATGCAAACTGTTGATATGAACTCCTTTAGTCCTATTGTCACCCCCTTGAGAGTTGAGGGCCCTCATGTTATTATCCAAGTACAAAAATTTTGTAACATGATTTGACATTTTTTAAAAATTGATTGCCCAATTTTTCCAATCTATGTATCTTGTCTCTCTATAAATATAAGGCAATATAATTTGTTTAAAACACACAAATCTATTCCAAATTTCATTTTAAAAAAAATTACAACAACATCAAAAATGGCTATTGTTAACCAAAAAACACATTGGTTCTTAATCATTTCTATCATTTTCTTCTTCTTCTTGATCAAATGTCAAGGTAAATACTTATCTCTTCTTTTTTTTAATATAATTTATATTTTTTCATATACTAATTTGGTTTCATTTAATTTTCTATTTTTGCAGCAAGGAATTTGCAAGTTGATAATTATGAATTAGTTCAAAAGAGTGGCAACCAACAAATTGTTATAAGCAATAAAGAGAAATCAAAGTATGAAGATTCAGTAGCAATAGACATAGATTATACTCCTGCTAGAAAGAAACCTCCTATTCATAATTAGAATTTGGAGAATTATCGAGTGACGAATCTAAAATTTAGAGTCAGTCGATTATGTTTTTGATATTATAAGTGTCATTATTTTTTGTTACACGTATATATACCTCGTTTGAGAGCTAGATGCAATGGATTCTGTCAAATTCGTATGTTGTGTCTAGTCTAGATCCCTATGTCACAAGTACTTTTATATATGATGTAATATATATACTTTCATTTCTAAAATACATGTACGTAGTAAGAAAATCTAAGAATTAAAAAATCATATATAATCATAGAGGGTATATATAATTAAGGAGATATATATCATTTATTATGTGGAGAAAATTTTTGGGAAATTTTCTTTGGGAATTAAGAAGATGAATATATATATTGAATTAATGTTGAGATTTTGTATACATATATTATACACATTTATGGAGATATTCAAAGTTTCAAATGATAATTTTGAGAGCTGTTAACTTGTAATTGGATACTCCATTCGTTTTAATTTATTTGTCTGGTTTTATTTTGGTACGAAGTTTAAAAAAGTTAAAAAAATGAATATTGTGGTTTCAACCTAAAGATGTAGATATATATATACTAAAAGTTAGAATTAAGAAATGGTTAAGAAAAAGATACTTTTAAAATGAATTTTACAAAAAAGTAAAATAAATAAATTGAAAATGGTGATCTATATTTTGGGCATGGCTGTATTTTATTTGAGTATTTTTAGATTTATTTCTTATTTCGTCCCTTTTATTTTCTATTCTTGTTTTTTCCCTTAATATTCTTTTTGTAGGTAATGTATGCAGTAAAATAAAAATAAAAGGTGCTCTTATATAAAAATAGGAGTACTTTTTATTCTTCAATCCTTTTTTTTGTCATTTTTTGTAATTAAATTCATTTGGTTTATTCTCATTATTAGAAATAAAGTTTTTTTACACTGTGAATCAATAAGAAATTTATGATATAAAATATGATTATTTTAAAAATTCATTTTCCACTTAATCAATTCATTTGAAAAAATACATGATGAGAAACAGAATCTCATTGAAATACTGAGAAACTTCTTAATCACCACTCTCAGACTAATTTACATCTTCATTTCTATAATTTGGGTAAAGTACTATCTAATAAAGATAACTCCATACCAAAAAAGAATCGAGCTCAAAACCTCTAATTAAGGATTGAGTTGATATGGAGCCTCTCCAACTTTTACTATCTTTTTTTTCTTCTTATATTTACAAAGTAAATCTACACAGTAAAATACAATATTTTTGCTAAAAGTAAAAATAGAGATGTTAAATTATTGGGTAGAGTTGTACATCTTTTTTAGAGGTCTTCGACACGTACAAATACTTGGTGGTCTTTACTGATTTGACACTTTGACACTATAGGATCCATTCGGGAGGAAAGCTTCCAATAGAATTTTCTCCATACGGAAAGTTTGAATTTGAGACCTCGAGTCCAAACACTGCACCACAATTCATATTGTTCCATCAATATTTGTTAATTGATCAATAATGACGAAATTAGTTATATTGTGATTATTTCTCATATTGTGTTTGGTTGGTTATATTAGAAATAATATACATCGCATAATTATCAAAATAAAATATCTTCCATAAATATAGTGGAAAGAATGTAGAAATTTTTTTGAGACAATTATGTTTTTAACCAAGTTAATGCATGCATTAAAACCTCTTACGTTACAAATACCATGATTTTTCATATATTAGTTATACATATAACATGATATCAAATAGATTAAAAAAGCGTATCAAACAAAGTATACAAAGCTAATGCCAGTAAGCTATAATAACTTAAAGATTTGTTATATGAAGCTGTTAATTATCATCTTAAACTTGCTCCAAAATCCCAAGCTAAACAGTTATTTGGATTCAAATTCTTGGTAGGAGCGCTTCCCCCCACTCCCCACCCCCCACCCCCACCCAATGAGGCCCTACATTCGGCCTCCAATGCAGATACCGAACACCATAAGGAAAACAAGTTTGATTAAATTCAATTGGTCTGCCAGAGCCAGTTCTCCAGGCAAAACACAATGCCAATAACAAAAGACTCACAGTTTGTGAGTTGCTACCAGCCTACCACAGATTATACAATTCAAGCTATACTACAGTCTACAAACAGCTATAACACAACAAAAATTTAGCAATCAGAAACTTTTTCATAGAAAAGTAAGGTTGCTTCAGCATCAAGAACATCTCTCTCGGAGACCATATACACGTCGGTGTCTGAGATGCAAAACCACTTATCAACAGCAGATCCCAGTAGTCCAGCATGATTGTCTTCACCAATTTTGGCTGTCACTCGTCTGAAAACGTTGTAATGCCCACTACCAACTATTCCAAAGTGCTGCACCACAGAGGCTAGTCGGTACTTGTGACTTTTGGAATGTGTTATTCGGGAAGTTTCACCCTGCAACATAAAAAAAAGGATAGAGGAACAACATCACGTGAGCTTCAAATTACGCGAATAAACTAACACTACATGACATATGAAAGCATAGAGTAGCAAAAAGAGATAGTGTAGGTGAAGTACACAATACTAGAATCAACTTAAAAAATAAAGCAGAAGATGGGCGACATTGTCCTCCCTGCTCCAATATTAGTCTCCATCTGTTCCCACGAGGTTTGTACTATAAGCAGACATCACAGTATTCTGTTTGATCCTTAGAATGTGACTATGTTGGTTCAATGAAGGAAAAGAACCGCCAAATGGATGAAAACAAAAAGAAGACGGAACACAGTAAGGCATATCATGGAAATCTTCCCTGCTTCTATATTAGTATCCATCTGTCCCTAAGAAGTTGACACTGTAATTGCACACAGTGTAATAAGTGATCAATTATCTTCTACTGGTTTCCTTGGCAAAAGCTTTATATGCCTAATTGTGAAGCAAGATTCACGACCTTTTTGTTGTATGGCAAGGATGCACTCTACTCTAACTTCCAACATCTGTACAATCATTGCAGAAGCACACTAGTCCAAGACATGTAGCACATGTCCGTTACAACTTATTGTTTCCATTTTCACAAACTTCACCTTAATGATTTAATCCAATGGTTAAATTTAACGAAACACAGACTTGAATAAACCGCCTGCTATCAAAAATTGATTGAACTTTGATTGCAAAAAGAAGTCACAATGATGGAAAGTAAAAGTTCAGGGGTTCCAACAAGCACATTTGATCACACAGTAATTATTAGGGAGATATTGAAACTGTTTGGTTCAGTGAGAGAGAATTATTTGGTTGGCTACAAAGTAGAAACGCTGATGCCTAACTAAAATCCCCTTTTTTTCTCTTGCAGTAAATACACCTACATTAAAGTTTTCCTTTGTGTGCCCCAACTTTTCTAGATGAACAATATAAAGAATTTCTATCATCTAAGAGTAGCTAAAGCAGAATCAGCTGCCAGTCTAAAGACCTATAGATCTCGGATCTAAACTGTACCTTAAACTTGATACGCATGCATCTGCCATTTTAACGAACATGGAAACTACTGCAATATATTATATGCAAATGCATGCACGATTTAAGTCGCTTTGGCGTGCATATCATGAATGCACATACGCCACAAATGAAAAGACATTTAAAGAGTAACAACGCAGTCCAACGAACACTAACTAGTATCATTCAACAACAGCACATTGAAAGGTCTGGCCTTGCAGTTTGAAGACAGAGATATAAGATAAATTTGGCCAGTCTCACAGCATTGCTTAATATTTCAAGAGAACTTATGGCTTCAAACCTGAAGTTACCAAAAATACCATAACAAGGACCTCGTACCCTTGAACTGCTTTTCATATCCCTCCCTCCCTTCGTAGATTCTATATTCATTCCTCAAACTACACAAGGCTTAAATGAAGCGGACATGGATGGTTAGGATTCAAAATAGTGGATCCCAACTTGCTCAGATTGAGGCATTGTTGTTATTGTTGTTGTTATATTCCTCAGATTATCACAAGATTGGATTTTGGAGTATAAACCGGGTGATTTATTAAGAAAAATAATAAGCAACCAGCATGCAAGCAAGAGAGGCCTCAGAGCCGGATCTGGTTTTTTCTGGATGGCTAGCAAGAGATATACGAGTACTTTACTCAGGAATAGTACTAGGTGCAAGTTTTCCTTCAGCAGTAGAATCCTGCTACAAACGTAAAGCTACACAACTTACATTCACTTCGAGAGTAGGTGAAAATCTCCAGTCATGGAATGTATAAAATCATTATACATATGATATGTTATGTGAGAAAGTTCAAATACGAGTAAATAACATTATCTACCTAGAGCAACCAACCTGATTTCCAGAATGTGGAGGCAGCTGATTTAAGCTGATCTCCTTGTAGCCTCCAGCCTCGAGCGAACTTGATTTTGACTTTGGTGCTTTAATACTAAAAGTATCTGAGACACGCAAACCGGCCGTATCTTCTACTTCTGTTGAAAATTTTCTTTCACTTCGGGTGATGCAAGTCAACATCTCCTTATTATCTTGCAGATTTAAGTTATTGAACAAAGGGAAAGGCTGCTGTTGATGCGTTTTTTGCCCAATTTGCAGATTCTCTTCCCAACTCTTTGTTCCCACTCCATTTTTCACGAAAGGAGTCAAGTCCAAAATCAATGGAAATGAAATATGGCCCTGAACACAAAATTCAAACATTGAGGGGTTACAGCGAAGCAGCCAAAGCATAGTATAAGATTTGAATATCAAACAACAACTCCATATTAGGTTGTCCATTAGGCTCACACAAAAAAATTACGTAGTAATTGAGGTCATGTAGGTCCAACACTACAGTCAAAATGTATCAATGATATGTGCCAATTAATAAATAAGTCGTTAGTCGGTTAGTGGTCATGTGAGTCGCACGTGCTAGTTGTTAGTCGGTTAACACTGTAGCCCAGTTAGTTATAACTAACTATGGGAGTCTGCTTTTAATTCACATGTATAAATAGGAGATCAACCCCAATTGTAAAGGTATCCAATTGTAAAAGATCAATAACAGTTCTCTCTCTTTCCCTTCTCAATTCCTCTGTTCTACAGAACCAGCTGTTCAAGAGCAATTAGTTAATTTGCTCTTTAGGCTTAGTTCGATTTCTTTCCCAATTTATCGGTACGCATCAATCAACCAAAAGTTGCAGTTCTGATTCTCAGAAGTTTATGCAATTAATAAGTTGATTTTGCATTCAAACAAAAGAAAAGAATCACAAAATTTGGGTCAGCTGTCCAGTAAGGAAAGATCGTATCCGTGTAGAGCAGCAATCTTCTTACTTCCGGCTGACTGAAAGGGAGAATAAGACTCTTTATTTGCCAAAAGTAGAAGGTTGTCCTCTCAATCTAGTGGACTATTCAATTTTAAATAAATTGTGAAATAGGATACAGAAAATATGCCCCAGGACTTTGGTCTAGTGGTAAGAGTGCAATGTGTGATGTGTGGGTTAGGCGTGCGTCAGGGTTCAAATCCTGCCGAAGTTTAGTATTTAAGTGGAGAAGGGTTAGGGGCAGACCAATTATCTACCAAATTCGAACCATGTGCCATTGACCCATAGTGATTTCTCAGTTATAAAAAGAACATCTTCTATAACATACATTTCTTTTTGATAGACAAGTGACAACTACATGAGTTTCTCATTAGAAACATCTCTTGCCCAAGAAAATTCTTTAGAAAATGCATAGAGAGTCATGCTCTTAGATAAATTGCAAATCTGAAAAACCTAGCTAAGGTTAGTGTTAATGTTAATGTATGCAGGGGTGAGCTCAACCCTTTTTTGGTGAGCAGTGAGCTTAACTTGAAACACAAGAAACAGAAAAAGAGTAAATAACATGGCATAGTGAACGCAATAGACAGGCGAATATGGCCAGCCAGGAAAATGGTAATTCATAGATTCTTGATCAGAGAGACAGTGAGACCTGTTAGCTAATGGTGGCCTGTTTTCAAAGAGGGCAGCTGTTCTATGTGCCTAAAAGAAGATAGTCCTTTGTGAGAGGCATATTGCAAAGAAATAGGAAAGGTTTCTGACTGCTTGAGGAACATTGGGTGCTAGTGCACACCTCTTTGGTGATTCAAGCAGCTAATACAGACTAATGATTGTGTGGGGAAGGCAGGTGGCTGATTTTAATAACAAGGAGCACTTGGTGAAAAGATTTTCATAATAAACATATCCACCTCAACCAAAATGGACTTATGACATTACAGGACATGCCCACCATTCTCAAGGTCCATTACTGAACCAACTATCAGTAAGTCTGAGATTTTTACAACCTGATGACCAAGATAAAACAAGTTTGGTCATGAGATAATAGTCTGTTTGGGCAAGCTTCTCAGTAGCCAAAAGTGCTTATCTATTTTTTCTTTCATAAAGTGCTTATTTTAGCAAAGTAGTCTTATCCGAAACAGCCTCTCTACCTTTTACCCAAGGTAGGGGTATGGTCTGCGTACACCCAACCCTCCCCAGACCCCATTTATGGGGTCACACTGGGCATTTGATATTGTTGTTGCTTATTTAAGAAAACTGAGGTGCTTGGCCAAGCTTTTAAGGGGAAAATAAGTGGTTTTGAGTAGTACTAGAAGTTGTATTTCATAAAAAAAGTTGCTTTTCCTCGTAGCACTTTGGAACCTTTGCCAAGAAAAAATTACTGCAAAATTCTTTTAAGATTGATTTTGCAAACACAAAATGCTACTCTCCAAACTACGTACTTCTTTGAAAAGCACTTCCCAAGAAAAGGCATTTTTCAAAATAACCAGATTTTGAAAGCTAGGCCAAACAAGCTATAAGTTGACATGGAAGAAATCAAAATGATCAGAGTCTTCCAACTAAAGGTTCAAATCAGTATAAAAAGAGAGAAACTGAGGCATTTTCTGGGGCAAGAATCAGGAAACAGTAATTGGTGAGAACAAAAAGCAAAAAGATCAATTATAGACGGCACTAAAAGTGGCAGAGATGAATCAGGACTAAGAAATGATTGAAATAAAAGGTAAAGTACATGATGCAAGCAAGCTGCAAATCAATCCAAGTTTATGCCATATGCTAAAATCGGATAAGCTTGCTCTTCTAGTCTTGGGTAGAACGGAGTCGGCCACAATAAATTCTTGCCTTCTTGCTAAAGACATTAGCTATAATGGGAAAAGAAGGAATGAAATTCACAAAATAGAACAACGGAGATGGATAATTCTGGAGACAAGTGATGCATCAACCAAGACAGAATACAAATTGATTTTGGAGACAGATGTTCTAGGAAATATGGAGACTACTCCACAGATGAGGATTCTGATGATTCCAATTACACACTGGAAACACAGAAGCAGCTAGCTCAGACATGCAAGATAGAAATTTAAGGACTTGGAAATTTCATAGGCATCTCGTGGGGATCTGATAAGGAAGGGCAGAGGAATCAGTGACGCAACTAAAAATAGATGGCCAAACAATTGAACCAAAAAAAGGAGAAGTAATTAACAGGAGCATGAATTAAAAAGGTTGAAGTGGAAAATCAGCAATGATGGGAAATAGGTGAATGGAAAATAAAAAACAGTGAATGAAATCGTACAGCGAATATAGGCTTACTATTGCTTCTATTGTCAAGTGCATTCTGTTTTCTAGTGTCTATCAGAACCTCCTCTCTGGGGTATTTCTTTTTAAAAAAATTAGAGGTAAAATTTACTTCACCTAAGCTGTGTTCTTATCTAAATATAATCTACTTACTTATCTGAAGAACACAACCCGCTTGCAAGAATATCAGTACCTGAAGTTTGTTCTGTTCTCCAAATACATTTATAGAAGCACGTTGTAAATGAAGACATAGAACCTGCAAGGTGGCACAACAGTAAGCACATGCAAAAGAGTCAACAAATAAAACACATGACAAAACTGTGAGAAATATAAGGAAAGAATATTATTGAATTGTTGTTGTAATAATTACATAGAGAACCCTATTTGTAGACACTATATAATACAATTCCTTACCAAATAGGAGACTATAAACTATTCCTAGTTTGTGTAGGATTGTGTTTTCCTATTCTATTCTAACACTCCCCTCAAGCTGGTGCATACAAATTATATGTACCTAGCTTGTTACAAATGTAATTAATACGAGGACCGGTAAGAGACTTGGTGAAGATATCTGCAAGTTGATCATTTGACTTCACAAATTTGGTAACAATATCTCCTTAGAGTATCTTTTCTCTTACAAAGTGACAATCAATCTCAATGTGCTTAGTCCTCTCATGAAACACTGCATTTGATGCGATATGAAGGGCCGCTTGATTATCACACACAAGTTCCATATGACTGGTTTCTCCAAACTTCAGTTCTCCAAGCAACTGTTTGATCCAAACTAGCTCACAAGTTGCTACAGCCATTGCTCGATATTCTGCTTCTGCACTGGATCGAGCAACCACACTTTGTTTCTTACTCTTCCATGACACCAAATTACCTCCAACTAAAACACAATATCCGGATGTAGAACGTCTATCAAAGGGTGATCCTGCCCAATCAGCGTCTGTATATCCGGTGATATGCTCATGGCCTTAATCCTCGAAGAGTAGTCCTTTACCAGGAGCTGACTTTATATATCGTAGAATACGAACAACTGCATCCCAATGACTATCACAAGGAGAAGTCATATACTGACTTACAACACTCACAGGAAAAGAGATGTCCAGTCTAGTCACAGTGAGGTAATTCAACTTTCCAACCAACCGTCTATACCTTTCAGGATTACTGAGTTGCTCCCCCTGTCCTGGAAGGAGTTTAACATTCGGATCCATAGGAGTGTCAATGGGTTTACATCCCATCATTCATGTCTCCTCAAGAATGTCTAAAGCATACTTGCGTTGAGAAATAACAATACCTGATCTAGACTGAGCAACCTCAATACCAAGAAAATACTTCAATCTGCCAAGGTCTTTAGTTTGGAAATGCTGAAAGAGATACTGCTTCAAATTAGCGATACCAACTTGATCATTGCCGGTGATAACGATATCAGCGTAAGCAACCAAATAAATACACAGATTTGGTGTTGAATGCCAATAAAACACAGAGTGATCAGCGCCACTACGAGTCATGCCAAACTTCTGAATTACTGTGCTGAACTTTCCAAACCAAGCTCGAGGAGACTGTTTCAGACCATATAGTGACCGACGCAATCGACATACAAGGCTTCTAGACTCCCCCTGAGCAACAAAACCAGGTGGTTGCTCCATATAGACTTCTTCCTCAAGATCACCATGCAAAAAAGCATTCTTAATATCCAACTGATGAAGAGGCCAATGACGAACGGCAGCCATAGATAGAAAAAGACGGGCTGATGCTATTTTGGCCACAGGAGCGAAAGTGTCACTATAATCTAGCTCAAATATCTGAGTATACCCTTTAGCAACAAGGCGAGCCTTAAGCCGATCGACTTGACCATCTGGACCAATTTTGACCGCATAAACCCAACGACAACCAACAATAGACTTAGCTGTTGGAAGGGAGACAAGCTCCCAAGTACCACTCGAATGAAAAGCAGACATCTCATCAAACATAGCCTGCCTCTATCCAGAATGAGAAAGTGCTTCTCCTGTAGTCTTAGGGATGGAAATAGAGGACAAAGATGATACAAAGGCACAATGGGGTGAAGATAAACGATGATAACTCAAGAAAGTATAATGGGGATTAGTATTTCGAGTAGATCGTATACCTTTTTGAAGTGCAATCGATTGGCTAGCAGGGGGCAAGGCCACAGTGGGAGCAGGGTCCGGCGCATGACATGAATCATTTGAGACTATTGCTGGAAGTGGACGTCGATGATAAGTTAGGAGTGGTGGCACTATAACTGGAGATGGAGAAGATACCGTAGGTCCCTCAAAAGTCAGTACAGGTAAGACCTGAGGTATGGGTAAGACCTCAGAGATATCAAGATGATCAAAAGATGTGTAGTAAGGTTGAGATTCAAAGAATGTTACATCGGCAGACATAAAATATCAGCGGAGATCATGTGAATAGCAATGATACCCTTTTTGAACTCAAGAGTAACCAAGAAAGACACATTTAAGAGCACGAGGGGCTAATTTATCTTTTCCTAGGGCTAAGTTATGAACAAAGCATGTGCTCCCAAATACACGAGGAGGGATAGAATAGAGATGTGACTGTGGATATAGTATGGAATGTGGAACCTGGTTCGAAATAGAAGATGAGGGCATTCTATTAATTAAATAACAAGATGAAAGGACTGCATCACCCCAAAAACGCAACGGAACATGGGATTCAATGAGGAGAGTGCGAGCAGTCTCAATGAGATGCCTATTCTTTCTTTCCGCTACACCATTTTGTTGAGGAGTGTATGGACAAGATGTTTGGTGAATAATTCCTTGGTGAGACATAAACTCCTGAAACTGGGATGATAAGTATTCTAAGGCATTATCACTACGAAAAGTACGAATAGAAACTCCAAACTGATTTTTTATTTCAGCAAAGAAACTTTTGAATATAGAAAATAACTCAGAACGATCTTTCATTAAGAAAACCCAAGTACATCTCGAATAATCATTAATGAAACTAACAAAATAACGAAATCCTACGGTGGAACTGACTCTACTAGGACCCCAAACATCAGAATGAACTAATGAAAAAATAGACTCTGAACGACCCTCAGTACCACGTGAAAATGTGGCACGAGTGTGTTTCCCAAGTTGACACGACTCACAATCTAATTTGGACAAACTAGATAAACTAGGCACCATCTGTTGCAGTTTAGATAGACTCGAATGTCCCAAACGTTTGTGAATGAGGTCCGGAGGATCTGTAACAGAGCATGTTGTGAAGGAATTTGAAGAGGTAAGATAGTAAAGGCCTTGTGATTCATGTCCTGTGCCAATCGTCTGTCCCGTACTGCGGTCCTGCATGAGAAAAAAATCATCAAAAAAGGTTATGCCACAATGTAGGGCACGTGTCAAACGACTAACAGATGCCAGATTAAAAGGGGAACCAGGGACATAAAGAACAGAGTCTAGAGTGACAGAACATAAAGGTGTGGCTTTTCCAACCCCTTTTGGTTTTGTTTGTATCCCATTGGCCAAAGTAATAGCAGGAAGAGATTGTGAATAAACAATATCTGACAGAAGTGATTTGTTACCAGAAACATGATCAGTAGTGCCCGAGTCCATTGACCCATGATCCATGAGTATTAGACTGTGAAACACAAGCAAAAGAATTACCCGTAACAACAACATCATGTTGAACAACCGAAGCTACTTGTGGAGACGTTTGCTTACTTGCTCGATATTGAAGGAACTCATCATATTCTAATTGAGCAATATGAGCATTATGGGATGGTCGATTAGGCGGAGCAACAAATGCTTCTTGTGAAGATGTATGCTTACTTGCACGATTACGAAAGAACTCATTATATTCCTTTAGAGTAGCAGGATCATAACTGGGTGGTGGACCATGCAAATTATGGCATATGTCACGTGTGTCCAGACTTATGACAATAACTACACTTGGATCGAGGTTTTCCAAGACGACCTCCTCCTCGTCGATTCTCCATAGATTGATATACTCGTTTTTCTATGGTTTGAGATGCGAGAGCAGAGGAATCAAAGGTCGGTGATGAAACTACTTTGTGGCTGGGAGGCGCGGCAATACGAAATAGACGAGAGAATAATTCATCAACTGTAGGAATTGTAGGACTAGCTAAAATCTGATCACGCACTGAATCATGGTCAGTAGAGAGTCCAGCAAGTGTAAGAACTAGAAACAACGTTTGTCTGTGTTCTTGTTGTTTGTCCACATTTGTAGTGATTGGCATCAACGTGTCAAATTCCTCCATGACTGATTGTACCTGACCCAAGTAAGTAGACATATCGGATTCTTGTTTCTTTAAGCTAGTCATTCTAGATATCACATCATAGAATCAAGATATATCATTAGTATATAAAGCACGAGCCTTTTCCCAAACTGAATAACATGTTTGGGATGAGCGAAACAAGGGCATCAACTTGGAATCGATAGATCACCATAGGAGACTACATAATTGAGCATCAACCTTCTCCCATTGTGCTTTGACGTTATTATCTGTCTCACTTGCCTTTGCCTTTTCATCTACCACACAAGTATTGTTGGTTAAGTGATCATGAACGCCTTGCCCCTTGCACCATAACTCAACCGAGGAAGCCCAGGCTAAATAGTTTGAGCTACCCATTAATGGTTCTGAAGTGATCATAGCAACTTGAACTACCTATATTCTTGGAGCCAAAAATATCAATCCCTAAAGACATATTATGAATTTAAAGAGAGGAAAAAAAAATAAGGCTGGTCAGAATCTGGAAAAAAAAAAAAGGGTACAGTCGTCGAAAATTAGGAATGACTGCCCGAAACTGGTCGGAATAAGAAAATAAATATACAATCTGCCTCGGAATGGAGAGGTGACCTCAATGAAAAAAAAATTGGTCGAAAAAACTGGTCGGAAAGTGTCGCACGCGCCGGCGCGTGGTGACGCGACCCTGGAACTCCTGGCGGGTGCGTAAGGGCGCGTGACTTGGTGAAACTCAGAGGAGCTCACTGGGGTTTGCTCGCCTGAGTGTTCCGCACCTCATGGTGGTGTGGGTTGTCGCACTACACTTGTAAAACGAGACAACAATGCAAACCAGCCGTTGACAGTCACCGGATTCTGACCTTTTTTTTTTCTCACCAATGCTCTGATACCATGTGAGAAATCTAAGGAAAGAATATTATTGAATTGTTGTTGTAATAATTACATAGAGAACCCTATTTATAGACACTATATAATACAATTCATTACCAAATAGGAGACTATAAACTATTCCTAGTTTGTGTAGGATTGTGTTTTCCTATTCTATTCTAACAAAAACCATTAAAACACAGAGCGCTGAAGCACCAAGTATTAAAATTAAATCCTATTTGCACCAAGTGACAGGTAAAAATGTTACTCCTTGCCGATCCCTTATTTTCATGGTTTTTTAATTTTGTTGGCAGCTATATGGTCAATCCTTTAAATTAAGAAGAACATGATTCTAGCACCTTTAATTCTTACTAGAACAAAATGACACTAACAATCATACCTTAGGACTCCGGCCAATACTGAGTTGCTTGAAAGTGCGTGAGAAGCTATTTGACCATGGAAATCTAGCAAGGCACGCTAGCTGTTTGCAATCACATGAATCTTCCTCATTGCACAGCTTAAGTTTTTCAACAATAGCCTGATAACAAATTGCATCTAATTAAACAGATTCTAGGACCGCCATAAATATGTTAAAAACATAAACACGGAGGGGAACCATTAACCAAATTCCTGTCAAATCGAGGAATAGTTTGTATGATGACATTGACATATAAATTTTGCCTAGGCCATATAAGCTCTTTTGAACCTATAGACTACAGCCACAAGCTTCACGGTTAAGGTAGTATGCTAAACTACGATCTGTAAACCAAGATCACCTCATTTTCATCCATGGCAGAGACATACTTTACGGCAGCAGTATGCCAACAGTGGCTGCACTTATAGTTTTCAAGTTGTTCCGCAACAAAGAACTGCTTCAGGCAATGCTCCACGGAACACCCAGGCATCTAACATTATGTTTGTAAAATACATCATCATGAATATGGAATCAAATTTAGGAAATAAACATATGACAATTGAGTTTTAAACGTACAATAGCCCCAGCGCTGCTTGACACTGGCACAAGATGCAAGCTATGAAACAACTGAAAATCCAGAGAGATCTGAAGAAAAAACACAACATGAATAAGTAAAATATGAATGAAGATCCAGAATATAGGGCGCTAACCCAAAACTGAAGAGAGCATTTACATGAATACAAGCTATCACTTATTTACAGCTTACTTTACAAAGTAAAAGGTCAAAACTTGACCTCATACAGCCCCACAAACAAAATAATGACCTAAATGATAGAGATTTGCCATATATTATGCATTGAAGGAGGACTAAAAACTAGTGAAGAGGCATGTTGATAAGAATATAAGAGAACTTGCATGATCATGTCCTCCAAGATAGCTAAAGATCAAAGCCAGCAAAACTAGAGATAAAATCATGGAAAAAACTTAATAAGATGGCATAAAATGTACCCCCTCTGTTTCAATTTGTTTGTATGGTTTTGACTTGGCACAGAGTTTAAAAGAGTAAAGAAGACTTTTGAATCTTTTGATCTTAAACTAAAGATATGTTGAAATGTACCAAAATGTCCTTTAACGAACTAAAAAGGAAAGTAAGACAAACAAACAAATTGGAATGTAGAGAGTAAGTTAGGACTTTTAAATTAAGTTTTGACTTTTTCTCACTTTCAATGTACAATAGACACCAGTTAGTTAATTGTTTTTTTTTACAAAAAATTATCTATTAGGTAATAGTTTATTCCCTTTTACAGCAACTTGAAATCAATATCACAGATTGCATGTGCACCTAGGCTAGCACAGCAAAGCAACTATAGAATATTCTTTGTAAATTTAGCAAACAAGTTCTATAATGTGCAAAAAGATACAGCAGTCAATAATTAAATTGTATGATTGTAAATGTTCTTTCAAGTACCATTCAACCTGAAACGAACAAGTTTGGCAGTTTAAAAAACTACCAAGAATCCCATCAAAAGGCCCAAGAAAACTCTGCCTCCATCTCTCCTGTTCACTTTCTCCTTTCATCCTTTGTGTAACAATCCTACAATTAGGAAGTGTAATTACGTCCGCCAAAGAGCTGTGATCATGAACATAAGATTCTGACAGTTCGGCTCTTAAAGAAGATAAAAGATGGGAGAGTGCTTCCTCTGCATCCTACATTTGGGAAATATGTAAGTTAAAACACTAGTACTAGTGATAATTGTCCGCATACTGTGAAGAGAAGAATACCTGCTGGCTAGTTAGATTGAAATCAGGAATGTGACTAGTCATGGCATGCATCAATCTCCTTGGACTTAGAACAGTTCTTCCATGTCGCGCAGTACATAATTCTGCAGAATATCAGACCAATCTTCTCGTTGGGTATTTAGACATTACTTGTAATAAGGAGGAGTTCTCCACTTTATGTTGATTTCTTGAAGAAAAACATTGTTCTTTGATTAGGACTAACAAATGTAAAAGAGTGGACAAGTTCACTCTTGTATTGGTAAGAGTGAGCATGTACCTCTAATACTTTTTAAATCAAAATACCATGTAGGGGTCTATGCCAAACTCCCTCACCCAAAACCTCAAGGCAGCTTTGCTAAAAATTGACTTACACTTAAGAACCATTGGTTCCAACCAGTGTTATCAAAAGCGAAAAGCGCAAAAAGTTCTAAGGTCCGTTAAGGCTTCAAGCGCAAATAAAGCGTAAACTTTAATGAGAAAAGACACAAATGGAGAAAAAGACAAACATACATGTTTGGTCCGAGACTAATAACTATAAGCATGAATAACAAATATATGGACAAAGAAATTGAAAAGAAAAATTACGATAATGTGAAATAGCAATTGTTTAGTGTCGCCTCTTCCAAAACCACTCATTCCCAAGGAAATGTTTGTCTTAAAGCCTTGATCATGTCATTGAAGCGCACATTAAGCGAGGTGAAGCGCTCAACATGTTTTGAGCCTCGCTTCGGGGCTTTTGCACACCTTTGACAACACTGGTGACAACTTATTATAGCAAAGCAGATGCAGATTAAGTATTACAACCAAAAGATAAAAGCTTTCAACTTCCTCTCTTGAATCTCAGAGAACTAACAAATTGAGATAAATCATTTCATCATCATATTATACTAACAGTGGGATGCAACAAAATAACCGTAAATTGTTGATGGACATTAATACCCTTAAAATGTTAGACTGTTTTACCCATTCAGCATGCATTATTCCCTTGGCATTACTGTTTAATCACGTAAAATTATTTAGAAATAAATAAAATTAGGTAAAATTAAAGTTGATGTATCTTTAATAGGGAATCAATGGCAAATTTACTTCCAATAAAAAGACTTTTGGATAAGTCAACTGTGCAACGTTCAGGAATCAGTATCATTTACATTGTATTTTGTTAAAGTAACTGGCATTGTAGCCATTATTTAGATTTAATAGGATTCCAAATTAATAGCCAACTTCATTTTTTGTGCATTTATCTTTCCAAAAGATCAATGACCAGATTTGGGAATTGCAGAAACAAAACTTACATATCTGAAGAGTGGAGAAGGTGAAAACTTATCACAATTAAATAGTAGTCTGACATTAGTAGTGCTAAAATCATTCAAGGTATGTTTATCATAACAGTTTGGCTAAATACAAGTATTGATTCAAGATTATTATTAGCAAATAAAAACTAAAATAATAGCTTAATATTGTTTATATATATCATCTATTATCTTCTATTCTATTTTTAAAATGGGAAGATCCTAATGTTGAAGTTGAATTACCAACTTACCCAGTAAAAGTTGAGTGACAATTTCATCCTTCACCTAAAAAAGCCTTCTATTAAATAAATATTTTCAGCTATACTTTCGAAGATAATTAGGAATGCAAAAAGTACCATCAGTTTCTAATGCATTAATTAGTTATTGAAGTTAAAATTTGTAGGGAAAGAGGCTTAACAAGATAATTAAGGCAATTATGATTTATCAAGAATCTTATTACTTTCTTAATAAGTTGTTGAAGTTAAGAATACGTATAGAAAGTCTTAATTAGTTGTTGAAGTTAAGAATACGTGCAGAAAGTCTTAATAAGTTGTTGAAGTTAAGAATACGTATAGAAAGTCTTAATTAGTTGTTGAAGTTAAGAATACGTGCAGAAAGTCTTAATAAGTTGTTGAAGTTAAGAATACATATAGAAAGTCTTAATAAGTTGTTGAAGTTAAGAATACGTGCAGAAAGTCTTAATAAGTTGTTGAAGTTAAGAATACGTATAGAAAGTCTTAATTAGTTGTTGAAGTTAAGAATACGATAGAAAGATTTAACAACATAATTAAGGCAATTATATTATTTATCAAGAGTAAGAAACGGTAAAATTTGAAGACCCATTAACTAAGTAAATATAGGCTAATCCAATTAATAAATATGTGAAAAGGGAAATCAAGAACATTGATCAAGAAACAACTAAATAAAGGCAAGAAATGGTTTCCATTTTCCTCAAGGATGCTTTTAGGCTTAGCATGTTCTTTTAAATCTTTCTTTCTTCTTTTTTTCTATTTTTTACTTTTTTATTTTTCCCTAAAAGAAAAGTTTGCATAAACTAAATGAAACTGACAATGGAGAAATATGTAGAGTTAATGGATGTTGGAATCAGAATAATCGCTAGATTCAACTCCCATCACCTTCAAACTTTACGAATAATGAAGGCCACCATCTCCATCTGTGGAGCTAGCAAAGATTCGTGAGCTATGGAAGGGAGGGGGGTTGGTTTCTTTGAAAGACTGATTTTTAAAATTGCCACTAATTAATTCTTTCTTTATAGTGTATTATGGTTATAATTTTTTAAATGAAAAGACAACATATATGATTTAACATATAAATATTTACAGCCATAAATGGCGTTGTTTGTTCTTTTCTGTACGCTATAAATTTGGGTTTAAACTCAAATACTTTAGAATATGCATACAGTTAAGTAAAAATGTTATTTTTGCCACACATTAAGTATGCATGTTGTGGATGCGTTTGCAGGCAAGACGTGCGTCTGAAGGAAAGCCAATTAAATTAAGTATTTAATTATTTTTTTTGTAGCTTTCTTTACTACTATAGAATAGGATTTATGTTTCCTATCTTCATATGGATTAGGTTTCTCTATCTTTATTATTCTAGAATAGGATCTATGTTTCTAGTTTCACAAGAATTAGACTTCCTATTGTTGTAATAAGACTCCCTATTTAAAAGGGGATTTGAGGAATAAAACCAGCAAGTCGTATTTAACCAAAACAAGACATCGGAGTTCTCTCTTCCATTGAACTCTAAGGTTTCAGCTTCCCTTTAATGAGCTGAAGTTGTATACAAAATAGGTCAATCTAGGAATTCAAACAAAGGCAAGGAAAAGTCGAAGACAATTGATTTAGATTTTTTTGTCCATCGTCTTGTGACTCGATCCTTCTCTATAGAAACTCTAACAATGCATGTGTCCACATCTAGTTATCTATAGATACCACCTACATTCCCTCAAGGACAACAACACTCTTCATCATAATAACTATTTCAGAATAAGAAGATTCTCTGTAGAGTTAACACCAAAATCAATGACATAAACTCTTGTTTTCCTGATCAAAATCAAACATAAAATGCTAGAATGAGATAAACAGTACAGCTTACATGTTCCAATTTGCAGCTTTTTGGTCTTCATATAACCACAAGCATTCATTCTCGTCTTTGTAAAGTTTGCCGCACCTTCAACGTATAACCATTATGTGAATATTCAGTTGTGCTTCATCAATCCATAATTCACTAAAATGGAGCGGCTCTTAGCCCATTCCTATATGTCTTGGAGATGGATGAACTGACACGACATATCCAAGGAGAGATGTCATGGTATATGTTATTTGCACATGACATAGTTTTGATTGACGAGACATGCGGCGGAGTTAACGATAGGTTGGAGGTTTAGAGACAAACCTTGGAGTCTAAAGGGTTCAGGTTGAGCAGGTTTAATACAAAATACTTAGAGTGCAAGTTCAGTGACGTAACTCACGTGATAGATGTGGAAGTAAGGATTGAAACACAAATCACTCCCAGTAAGGAAGTTTCATGTATTTGTGTCAATAATCTAAGAAAATGAGAAGATTGATGAAGATGTTACACATTGTACTGGAGCGAGGTGGATGAAATGAAAGCTCACATCAGATACAAAAGAATGTGTCACCAAGTCTTAAAGGTAAGTTTTATAAAAGGTCAGACTTGCTATGTTGTATGAGACGGAGTGTTGGTTGGTTAAGAACTCGCAAGTCTAGAAGATTAGAGTAGCGGAAATAAGGATGTTGAGATGATTGTGTGGTCATACTAAGAGAGATTAGGAACGAAGTTATTCGAGACAAGATGGGAGTGACCTATTTAGTGGACAAGATGAGGGAGATAAACTGAGATGGTTTGGGCATGTGAAGAGAAAATGCACACATGCCCTATTGAGGAGGTATGAGAGGTTGGCAATTGAGGGTATAAGGAAAGGTAAAGGTAGGTCAAAGAAGTCTTTGAGAGAGGTGATTAGACAGGACATGACTCAGCTGCAGCTTATTGAGGACAAGACCCTAGATAGGAAGATATGTAGGTCGAGGATTAGGGAAAAAAGTTAGTAGGTCGAGCATTGTCTAGTTTCCTTTTCAGTATTGTTATGATTACACTCTCCTACTATCTTAATCTTCAATTTTAGCATGTTGTTTCCTTTGCTTCAGTTATCTTATTATTTTGTCGTCGCGTCTATTCTCTTCTTTATTGTTTTCAACATGGCTTTGTCATTGTTGTATTTGCTTCACATACTTATTTTTTAAAATGCTTCTTTTTTAGCCGATGGTCTATCAGAAACAATTTTCTACCTTCTCAAGGTAGGGATAAGACTACGTACACACCACCCTACCTAGACACCACAATTGGGATTACAATGGTTATGTTGTTGTTGTTGTTGCAATTAAATTATCTTAAAGCTCATGCTCTATTCCATAAACTCTACCTAGCTATCAGTTCTACCAGCACAAGCTCTTCATAGTATCCACATTTGCATTCGACTAGAACTTAAATAGGTATTTATTCATTCTTTTCTCAAAACGATGGTGTCCAAACCAGCTTGCGTATACCTGCCAACATTCATTCCTACAAGTTCCCTCAATGGACCAAATTTTACTATATCGGATTTCAAACTCACCTTCAACAAGCGAAGCCAAAGCAGCAATAACCCGCAAGTCTCTACTTCCTTCCATTGATGAACCCTCACATTCCTCCACAACTTGCTCAAGAAATTTGCCAAAGCTCTTACAGCTAGCTAAAGCCTAATCCAAAATCATCAACATATATATATAAACAAAAATCATCAAAAACCAATCAATTTACAGAAATCAAGAAATGCTAAATCAAACAAACCCCACACCAAATTTGCTAAACCTCTACCATCTGATTAAAAAAAAAAAAAACTTTCATCAACAAAATTCAAGAAAAGATGAAATCTTTACCTGTAAAACAACATTCAAAAAGCAATTGTTACTAAGATTTTGCAATCCAGGTACTGTCAAATAATATTTTTTTGAACTACTTTTTTCTGATACCATGATGTCTCTGATTTTTCCACCATCTTTTATAGCAAATATCAAACCACCAGCAATACTTAATAAAGTAGCAGCAACTGAAACTTGAACCCCATGAGCAGTAACCCAATGGGAATTAAACCCATGTTTGAATTTGTGTACAAGTGAAGATGAGTGTATATTCATTGCTATGATAGGCGACAATTTCAAGAACTCAGAAAAGTAACGCCCACAGCGGCTGCTTCAGTTACCCTTTTTCCCACTTATTTATAGTGTAATATAATAAAAGGTAAAATATTTCCTTTTATTGCTATTTTTTATGAGCAAAAATATCACTAAACTTTGTTTGACACCCAATTGTATAATAATTTTGAGATAAAATTTAAAAATATGTGATGCAAACAAAAAAATCTGAGATTATATTATTATATTATTTATTAAAATAATAAATTTTTTTGCTACCTTCGTCTCATATTAGATGGCATATTTGTCTCATATTAATTGATCACTTACTAAATCAGGATATAATTAATTAATTTTTTCTCAATTTACCTCTACAATTAATATGACTTTGGAAGTTTCAATAAATGTTGAAGATCTAAAATTTATTTTTTCAAGAGGCTAATTAATATAACAAAGGGCAAAATAGTAAAGTTGGTCAATTTATAAATGTTTTTTTATTAACCGTATAAAATAGAAAGTGGTCATCTAATATGAAACGAAGGGAGTATCTTATTTGATAAATGAGAAAATAATTTAATGAAATATCGTTACTTATTTCGTTCCTGTATCAAAGAATTTATGGTGAAAATAATGGTCTAAACTAAAAAGACTATATGTCGCTGGCTCACAAACTCAATGTTTTGTGTTATAGTGTATTTTTTTTTATTGGGATATTTTCTTAAAATAACACTATTAATGCTTATTTTTATAAAATATATTGAGATTTGTTTTTTAAAATTCAAAATATAACAGTATTGTCCTTTTAAAAGTAATAAAAAAAATATTGTATTTGTGTGCATATAAAATCTAATTCTAACTTAATTGTTTGAATAAACTATTTGATTCATATGTTTTAAAAGAGGAAACTAGATGTGTATGTATGTGTTTTCAAAGTAGAAGTTGGAGATGTGTATGTATCTGAAGACATCAATTGTAGGCCCTCAATTGTATGTGTGCCAAACTGAATTCAATATTTGTGTTTTTAGACTATATGCACACAATATTAATCAACTATATGGAAGATCAATTCTTTGTAAAGAGTATATGAAGTAGTGTATGTTGTAACAGTTATATATATGATATACGTGTCAAGTATTCGTTCTTATATATATACAGTCATACACATATAACATACAATATTCATATATATGACATGGTTGTACATAGAGAGTAGTAAATGAAGAACTCCAGCAGAAAATCGACAAATAAAGAAAATCATGACTTTGTGAACAATTGACACATTGATATCTTCTTAAGTCTTTGTGAATTTTGAGAAAGATTTTTATGAAATCCTTCAACAGTATTAATCTCCAGCGAAACAATGTCAATTTTTCAGTGACTTGAAATGACGACGAACTCCAAATATATTTATGCTATAAAATTGCACAATTTCACTATATTTTGTAGTTATTGAAAAAGTACCACTATAAAGAGTAGGGGTGGGCATAAATACCGGAAAATTGAAAAACCGAATAGAACCGAACTATTTTGGTTCTTCGATGTCGGTTCTTTATTTTCGGAACTTCGGTTCTTCGGTTCGGAGTTCTGTGTAACGGTTCCGAAACTACGGTGCATCGAAGAACCGAAGTTTTATTAAATAAATTTAAAAATATTTAAATTATATTACTTAATAATACTTATATATTTTGACTCAAAATATTTACCTGGCCCATTTCAATTTTTAAATTTTAGAGCCTAAACTTAAATAGCAAAAATCTAAATGACAAAACAGTAAAATGTAAACCCTAAAAAACTAAAGTCTAAACTAAACAAAACTCAATTCAATTCAACTAATTAACGAATCCTTTGACATCTTTGCCTTTTTCCCTTCCAGTCGCTTCTAAAAATACAAGGTTTCTCTGGCTCTTCTTCATTGTGCACAAGAGGTGGACCAAATTCCGCGTATGCTTCGTTTTACGCATACATACTATGCCCATTTTTTTTATATAAATAAATAACATTTCATATGCTTTGACAGAGATATTATATTTTCAACCCCCATGAAAGTCTAGAAACAGAAACAAAATTTGAATTCTTCTAGTTATAGAATCATCTATGCTACGTCTTCTTAATTACAAATTAAACATATGAAACTCTTAACACTTTATCATATTCCCTCTTTATTTTTATTCACACCGAAAAACCAATTTAAAAACACCGAACTAAATCGAACTGAAGTAGAAAAAATCGAACCAAACCGATCTAGTTTGGTATGAAATATGATGTAGACTTTTCTAAAACTGAATACCGAAGAATCGAACCAAAATTTGATTAAACCGAACCGAAATTTGATTAAACAGAACCGAAGAATCGAACGCCCACCCCTAATAAAGAGCAATGAAGTAAAAATGTTGTGTTCGATAATTTTCCTATTTTATTTGTTATACTAGAATTCAATTTTCACTGGAAAAAATTAGTTAATATTCTCCCATTATATATATATGATTAGTTTCATCAGACTCGTGCTAAGCCTGGCCAAACTCCAGATAGATAAATAGTTTTTTTAATTTAAAAAGAGAAAATGGTCAAATTGCCCCTCAACCTATTGTCGGATTCTCAACTACACACTTAAATTTTATGGGATCCTATCACCCCCCTAAACAGTTTAAAACTTAAATTATTACCTCTCTAATTGTTGATATGGCAAAGTGGGTGTATTTCACTCTCTTTGAGAGAGTGAGCAACAAAAATAAATTATTAAAATTTTATTTTTAATTATTTTTTATAAATATATGTTTTTTTTAATTTATTGTCTTTCTTCTTTCTCTCACCCCTTTTCTGTCACTGTCACTGCTTCAAACGAATCTTCACGCCGGAGCTTCGACCAACAAACAACAGTGAAATAACCAGACCACCTACATCATTGGAGGAGCAACTTCACTGAATCAAAACCCCTTTAGTTGTCTCTCTTCCTCGTCACTGTTGACAAGCAGCAAGACGTCGATGAACCATCAAACACCACACCTCTTTTTTCTTCTGACGACGAACAATCAGCGAAATTCCAATTAAACTTTTTTTTCTTTGGTGGTGGAATTGAAATTAGATTTACGATGATTTTGATGTCTTTTCAATCTGAAGCTTTATTCTTAAGAGAAAATGACGGAGAGTTCTTTTAGTGGGTAAAAAAGATAATTATGAAGGTGGAGGATATGATAAAGAGAGAGGCGGAGGTGGGGGAAGACCCCCACTGTATCCATCAACATTTTCTCCAAATGAAGCTTATGCAAAAATTTAGGGTTAAAAAATGGTTGAAGAAAGGAAGGAGACCAAGAGAACTTCTTTTTTTTAAAAAAAAAAAAAACAATTGGTGAAATACATGTGCTTCATCCACTTGACACTTGACTGGTTATCGCGTTTCAAGGGGGTATATATTTCATTTTTAAAAAGTTTAGGGGAGTAATAGGACCCCCGTAAAGTTAAAGTGCGTAGTTGAGAATCTGACCATAGATTGGAGTCTATTTGACCATTTTCTCAATTTTAAAAGTATAATTTATATCACATCTTTTTTTAATTCATAATTAATTAATTAATTAATATCATATAAGGACATGTTAAATATATCTTGTTGGTAATTCTTCATAAATATAAAGTTTCAAATCACACAGTTAGATAATTAAAAAATTGGCTGAGGAATTAAAAAATACTAAAGAGACACAAGTGGTTCGATACTCTATAAAATAACATGATTTAAAATATATAAATAATTATAATTTATCGAAGATCATAAATCCAAAAATGTGAACATTTATATGAATATGTTGGCATGTAAATTCCTAGTTATGAATAGGGGTGGCAGGGGGACCGGGTCGGCCCGCCCCGGCCCGCGACCGGTCCGAGAACCGGCCCGCTGGACCCGGTCCCGTTTGAAGAAGGGGGATGGGGGATTTTCGGGATAGGGGACCGGTACCGGTCCGGTTCATCCATTGGTCCCGGTCCCGGCCCGGATGAACCGGCCGGTTCGCGGGATCCCCTAACAATTTTTTTTTTTTTTTTTTTAAATTCTATCCGTTGGGCAACGGCTAGTGGGCCCCCCCAACGGATATTTTGGCAGTTTTTTCCCCCAACCAACACCCCCTACCACCCCTACTTTTAATAATTTACTTTAAACCCTCAAGTTATTATAAATACACTTTAACCCACTTTTAATATTATAAATACCCCTCTATCCCTTATTATTTCTTACAAAATTATATATTCTCTCATCTATTTTTTATATTCTTTCAAGTCTCAACTCTCAACTCTCAATCTTAAGTCTCAAATCTCAATATTTTATTTCATTTAAGTCTCATATTATATCATAATACATATATTTCAATTCTAAGTTTTCATATTATATATCATAATATATATATATATCTAAGTTTTCATATTATATTTGCTATCAAATATTGGAGTTTCAAATTACAAGTTACAAGTTACAACAAACTACAAGCTTCAAGAATCGGTTATAACGTCTGCTATTAACGCAGACGTTTGGTACATTCGTTTCATAATATTTATATTTTATTTTTCGTCATTAATTTTTGTGTTATTATTATTTTTATATTATACTTTACATATAATTAAATATGAGTTCTAACAAAAAAGATACCGGTAAAGGAAAAGAGAAGGAACCAAGTGCCATTAGTAGATTATTTAATTTTACTAAAAAAAGTAGTAAGGAAAAAAATAAGAGTAAATGTGGTGGTACTTCTAGAGTTAGATTTAATACAAATGATTCTACTTATGTTGATAATACTTCTTATGATATTGATTCAAATGCTCAACTCGATCATGAACTTTTACAACAAATTTATGGTGATAATCCTTATCTTGATGAAAATTCAGGTGAAGAAGTAGAAGTTGGTTCGGGAGAAGATGAATTAGAAGATACACCTACTAGTCCGGTGACAAATGTTCCAAATGAAACTACAAATTCAACGGAGCAAAATTATGGACGCCCACCCCTTATACCTCCTACAAGGGAGAAGGTGAAGTATCAACGCCCTAAAACTTCTGTTGT